ATTTGCTGAGAACAGGAAAGGACATGAAAAAAAAAAAAAAAAAATCTTAAAAAACACAAAAAAAAATTTTTTTTAAATAAAATAAAACAAAAGAAAAAAAGTAAAAATACACTTTTTTTTTAACAATAATATCAGAGTATCAAGATTTCTTAAAAAAAAAAAAAAAAAAAAAAAAAATCTGCATTTGCTGAGAACAGGAGAGGACATGATTTCATCTAAAAAAAAAAAAATTAAACAAATAAAAGAAAAAAAAAAAAAGTAACTACACATTTTTTTTACAATAATATCAGAGTATCAAGATTTCTGAAAAAAATAAAAATAAATGAAGAAAAATATGCATTTGCTGAGAACAGGAGAGGACATGATTTCATCTTAAAAAAAAAAAAAAAAAAAAAAAAAAATAAATAAAAAAAAACAAAAGAAAAAGTAAATACACATTTTTTTTAACAATAATATCAGAGCATCAAGATTACTGAAAATAAATAAATAAATTAAAAAAAATCTGCATTTGCTGAGAACAGGAAAGGACACGTTTTTAAGAATAATTTCAGCGCATCAAGATTTCTGAAATTTGTTTTTTAAAAATCTGCATTTGCTGAGAACAGGAGAGGACATGATTTCATCTTTTCATTAAAAAAAAAATGTAAAAAAAAAAAAATAGAAAAAAAAGTAAATACACAATTTTTAACAATAATTTCAGCGCATCAAGATTTCTGAAAAAAAAAAAAATTAAAAAAGTCTGTGTTTGCTGAGAACACAAGAGGACATGATTTCGTCTAAAAAAAAAAAAAAGAATAACTAAAAAAAACAAAAGAAAAAGGAAATAACATTTTTTTAAAAAAAAATAATGTCCGAGCATCAAAATTTCTGAAAAAAAAAAAGAAAATCTGCGTTTGCTGAGAACAGGAGAGGACATGATTTCATCTTTAAAAAAAAAAAAACTAAAAAATAAAAAAAAAAAATAAAAAAAAAAAAAGTAAATACACATTTTTTAGCAATAATGTCAGAGCATCAAGATTTCTGAAAAAAAAAAACTGAGTTTGCTGAGAACAGGAGAGGATATAATTTCATCTTAATAAAAAAAGTAACTATTTAAAGGTATAAAATATTGCAGTAATAAATTAAAATAAATAAAAAGTGTGAAAATATTAAAAAAAAAAAGGAGTAAGCGGAGTAAAATATTACTTTTTTTTTTAAAGTAACAAATAAATAATATGTAAAACAATCCAGTAACGCATTAAAATAAAAAAAAAAAATAAATAATTATTAAAATATTTAGAAAATTAAAACAGGAAAAAAACGAGGAGAACAGCAAACAATATTTATTTTGCAATAAAATAAATAAAAAAAAAAAAAAAAAATAAAAATACATAAACAAAATAAATAAAAGAATATCATATAATAATGTGAAAAAAATAAAATATATTTAATGGCAGACGATAAGATGAGATGTAAAAATAAAATAAATAAAAAAAAATAAATATAATAAAAAAAAATAAATAAAATAATATCATATATAATAAGTAAAAAAATATATATAAGAAACAAAAAAATATATATTTATTGGCAACATATAAATTTAGATGTAATCTCCTCCCAATCATAAATATATAAGCAAAAATAAATATAATAAATAAAAATAAAAAAATATCATATAATAATGTAAAACAAATTAAGAAAAATATATATTTATTGGCAGCAGATAAGACATCTCTTCCCAATCATAAATACATAGCCAAAAATAAATATAATAAACAAACTAAAATAATATCAAATGATTATGTAAAAAAAATGTATATTTTAAGGCAGCAGATAAAAAAAGATGTAATCTCTTCCCAATCATAAATAAATAAAAAAAAAAAAATCTAATAAATAAGCTAAAATAATATCAAATAAAATTGTAAAAAAAATAAAAAATATATATTTTAATGCAGCCGAAAAGATGAGATGTAATATCTTCCCATTCATAAAAAAATAGGTAAAAATAAAAATAATAAATAAAAACAATAAAAAAAAAAAAAATACTATTAAATAATAATGTAAAAAATAAGAAATTCAAAAATATATATTTTAAGGCACCAGATAAGACGAGATGTAATCTCTTCCCAATCAAAAATAAATAGGAAAAAATAAATATAATGAATATACAAAAATAAATATAATAATATCAAATAATAATGTAATAAACATAAGAAATTAAAAATATATATATATTTCAAGACAGCAGATAAGACAAGATACGCCAAGATACGCTCCTTCCTTACCCCAGACAACTAAACTACTAGTACACTCCCTGATTATCTCACGCCTGGACTACTGCAACTCCCTCCTCACCGGCCTACCCCAAAAAAAAAAAGGCTCTCCCCGATTCAGACCATCCTGAACTCAGCGGCCAGACTCATCCACCTCACCAGCCGCTCCACCTCTGCCACCCCCCTCTGCCTAAAAAAAAACTGGCTCCCCATTGCCCAACGCATTAAATTTAAATTGCTCACCCTGACCTATAAGGCCATTCAAAAACTGCCCCTAAAAATATCACCGACCTGATTTCCCCAAAAAAAACCCTAAAAAAACCTTCGCTCTTCAAAGACCTCCTTCTAAAAAAAAAAAAAAAAAAAAAAAAAATACGACAATGCAAGACTTCTCCAGGTCCTCCCCCAAAAAAAAAAACTCACTACCCCAATCCATCAGACTGTACCTTCCCTCCTACCTTCAAGGGCGCTCCCTGAAAAAAAAATTCTTCAAAAAAAAAACCCCACCCTCACCTAAAAGCCGCTGCCCTTCCCTCCTCCTAAAATACCATCCCCCACAGCCGTTTCCTCCTGTGCCTCTACCCCCTCCCTCCTAGATTGTAACGCTCAGAAAGAGTAGGGGCCCTCTAACCCCTCGTGTGCTGTTAAAAAGAAAAAAAATAAAAAAAAAATGTATAAAAAAAAATATCTATTGTACAGCGCTGAGCAAACCCTTTGGCGCTATATAAACTCGATAAATAAATAAATAATAAATAAATTTCAAGACAGCAGATAAGACAAGAATGTAATCTCTTCTCAGTAAAAAAAAAAATAAAGTAATATTATATATAAAAAAATGTTATTATGTTTTAGAGCATGAAGAATATGTAAAAAATAAAATAAAATATATTTTATATATATATATATATATATATATATATATTTTTTTTTTTAAAGGCAGCAGATAAGAAAAGACAATCTTCCCAATCATAAATAAATAGGAAAAATAAATATAGCGAAAAAACAAAAAAAAATAAAAAAATATCAAAAAAATAATATAATAAAATAATAAATTAAAATATATTATATATTTTTCAAGGCAGCAGATAAGACAAGATGTAATATCTTCCCAGTAAACATAAATAAATATATAAAATAAAATATATTTTTATATTTTGAAATGTTATGTTTTAGAGCATCAAGAAAAATGTAAAAAAACCCCAATATATATATATATATATTTATTTATTTTTTTAAGAGAGAAGATAGGACAAGATATATTTATTTATTAATTTATTTACTTATTTATTTATTTTTATTTTTTTTAGGGCAGCAGATAAGACAAGATATATTTATTTATTATTATTTCGTTTTTTTTAAGGTAGCAGATAAGACAAGATGTAATATCTTCCCAGTAAACATAATTAAATATATAAATAAATAAATGAATAAATAAATAAAATATATTTTTATATTTTGAAATGTTATGTTTTAGGGCATCAAGAAAATGTAAAAATAATATATATATATAATATATATATATATATATATATTATATTTTTTTTAAGACAGCAGATAGGACAAGATATATATTTATTTATTTTTATTTTTTAAGGCAGCAGATAAGACAAGATGTAATATCTTCCCAGTAAACATAAATAAATAAATAAAATATATTTTTATATTTTGAAATGTTATGTTTTAGAGCATCAAGAAAATGTAAAAAAAAAAATATATATATATATATATATATAGATACAATTTATTTTTTATTTTTTTAAGGCAGCAGATAAGACAAGATATATTTATTTATTTATTTTTTAGGGGCAGCAGATACGACAAGATATATTTATTTGTTTTTTTAAGGCAGCAGATAAGACAATGTAATCTCTTCCCAGTAAAAATAAATAAATAAATAAAATATGTTTTGAAATGTTATTATTATTTAGAGCTTGAAGAAAATTTCTAAAAAAAAAATAAAAACAAATCCCCCAGAGAGGAGTGACAAGCCTGTTAGTATGGACAAGCATTATTATGTGAGTGATGGTCCATTATCGCGGAGACATGGAGGGTGCACCACAGATAGCTAATTATACAAGGAAGCCGACTGATAGGAGGACTGCACCTCGGAGACGCTGTGACTGCGCCATGTATACATTGTCGGTAAGAGTTGCCGCGTACGCCGTCGGCTGAGAGCCGGCTGGGATTCCTGAGCTATCATTTCTCTTTGCAAACGTCAACCACTGTGAAATAAATCAATACGCATGCAGCTAGACTGTCAGCTCTTGAGACGAATGGTGGGTGGGAAGGGAGATGAGCTGATTGGGATTGGTCAGGATCCCATGTAGGAGAGGATCTCCTCGGCTATACCGAGACGTCCCGATGGATGCATTACGCAGGACTGGTGATTGATGCATCTTGGGACACGGCCGGGTCCTTCTGTGGACGCCCTTGAAGAGTGAGGAGGTTGGCTTCTAATTTTTGTCTTCCGAAACCCCATCCTGATTGAACGCGCTGGGAGCAGAGGCGGACTGACCATTCGGACACTGGGCACTGCCTGAGGGCCTGGGGTCAGTAGGGGACCCCATGAGATGCCCCTGATACCTTTCATAAGCTTTTTTGGGAGTGGTTTGAGTGTGGGCGAGGACACAGGGGCCCCATGATTGCCTGTTGTCCGGGGGCCCCATGAGTTGTCAGTCCGCCCCTGGCTGGGAGGTTAGGTTGGAGAAACGGTGAACGTGATGAACGCCACATGCAAGAAAGTCAACGCGGCCAACTCTGCCCCAACCTAACCACAGCAGAACTGGACACACTGGGACATGAAACTCCAACGGAACTCCACCAACTTCACCCCTTCAACCCCGGACACTTTCACCCCCCTTCAACCCCAGACACTTTCACCCCCTTCCAGTCCACACTTTCACCCCCTTCCAGTCCGGACACTTTCACCCCCTTCCAGTCCGGACACTTTCCCCCCCTTCCAGTCCGGACACTTTCACCCCCTTCAAGAAACCCCGGACACTTTCACCCCCTTCCAGTCGGACACTTTCCCCCCTTCCAGTCCGGACACTTTCACCCCCTTCAACCCCGGACACTTTCACCCCCTTCCAGTCCGGACAACACTTCCAGTTCACCCCCCTTCCAGTCCGGACACTTTCCCCCTTCCAGTCCCAGACACTTTCACCCCCTTCCACCCCGGACACTTTCATCCCCTTCCAGTCCGGACACTTTCACCCCCTTCCAGTCCGGACACTTTCCCCCCTTCCAGTCCGGACACTTTCCCCCCTTCCAGTCCGGACACTTTCACCCCCTTCAACCCGGACACTTTCACCCCCTTCCAGTCCAAACACTTTCCCCCCTTCCAGTCCGGACACTTTCACCCCCTTCCAGTCCAAACACTTTCCCCCCCTTGCCAGTCTGGACACTTTCCCCCCTTCAACCCCGGACACTTTCCAGTCCGGACACCCACTTCCAGTCCGGACACTTTCCCCTCCTTCCAGTCCAAACACTTTCACCCCCTTCCAGTCCAAACACTTTCCCCCCTTCCAGTCCGGACACTTTCACCCCCTTCCAGTCCGGACACTTTCCCCCCCTTCCAGTCCAAACACTTTCCCCCCTTCCAGTTCGGACACTTTCACCCCCTTCCTGTCCGTGGCCACAAATTTTCCTTTCTTTCCAGGTCACAGCTTTATATTTCTCGCACATTTCTCTCATCATTGATTCGAAATTCGTTAATTTTTCAGAACAATTTCCAACATACCCGATCACTCAAATTAAGCCGGCCATACATGGGTCGAAATTCAACTGATTTTTAGTCCGAGAATCGGACCTAAGAATAATCGGCCGATTTTCGCTCTGTTAGTGGGTCAATGGCACCGGCCAATTTTCGTGGTTCCTCCCCTTTTCGGCGATCGGCATGTTGGAAAATTAGTGAAAAACTACCAATTTTCGACTCAATGATGGTCAAGCCGTGACCTGGAAGGAACAGAAGTTTTGCCTGTTATATGGGGTGAACTTTATGACTTGGTCGACCGATTTTCAAAATCATCGATGGCACCATCGGATTACTAAGCAAACGAGGTTTTCGATTTTCGGACAAAATATCGTTTGGAATTCGAGCCATGTATGGCCCGCATTAGATGGTCACATGAAAATCGGGCTGTTTCTGTGACCCACTAACGGTGCAAAATTCCAACAAAGATTCTAAAGAAAATTCTTTCAGAATTCCACCCGCGTATGGCTCAGCAAACAGGCTTTTTTTTTTTTCAGCAGAGCAGCTAAGAATAAACAGGTGAACGTGTTCAAGCAATATATGAAATTCGGGCCAACTAAAAAAAATCGTTGGTCATAACAATAATAGAAAATCTATGCGAAATGATGATACATTCCCATGATGACCAACTTAAAGCGGACCTTAACCCTTCCCATCCACGTTCTCTCATCCCCCTCCCATCCCCCGCCTCTCACATAGTCAGAGACTTTACGTTTGTTTTAAATACCGTTTTTTTTTAGCACACATCCTCACCCTTCCTGTCCTCCTGCCCAGGTGAGAATAAACATGATGTTGCCTGAAGACTCCTGGAATACTCAAGCCACACATCCCAGGAAGCCACCGAGTACTCTACACCCAACAATCAAGCAGTATTCTGTAGGGATCCACCACTCCACCGCTCCACACCTGGTTCTTCACATGCATCTTCTTCTGATATCATCAAGGGCCATCTTTCTCCACCACTCCACAGCTGGTTCTTTGCACGCATCTTCATACCATCTATCTCTTCCATGTTCCTTCAGCTGGCCCTGTGATGACACATATGCGCCATGGCGCAACATCAGTGGACCAGCGGCAAAAGCCAAGAAGAAGCTCCCCTGATGACACGGCAAGTTGCACCTGAAGTAGTGCATGCCTCTTCACGTTCCTCCACGGAGCCTCTTTATGTTTTTTTTTTTTTTTAGCTGGCCCACTGATGTTGCTCCACCACGGGGACAGCTGAAGGAACACGGAAGAAATTGATGGCCCCTGATGATGTCAGAAGAAGATGGTGGTGAGGTAGCGGGTGTGTATTGGTGGCGTTGTGGATCCCTACAGCATGATCTAATTTGCTCCTGCATCTTCTGATATCATCAAGGGGGCCATCTAACTCCACAGATACACACCTGGTTCTTTAGGTGCATCTTCTTCTGACATCATCAATGGCCATCTATCTCCACCTGGTTCTTCGCACGCATCTTAATGCCATCTATCTCTTCCATGTTCCTTCAGTTGGCCCTGTGATGACACATATGCTCCACAGTGCAACATCAGTGGGCCAGCTGAAAAAGCCAAGAAGAAGCTCCCCGAATGACACGTCATCGGGGATCCCTACAGAATAGAGCTGGATCGCTGGGTGTGTATAGATTTGGATGCGAAGTTCCACTTTAAGGTCCCCAGTCACCGATTCCACTTTAAAATCGTGTGGCTTCCAGTGAAGTCATTTGATTTCAAAGTCGGATGTCATTCCGACTTGAGGTGTGGCTTGCAAGACATCTGCCCAGATGTCTATGCAAGTTCCATGTGAAGTAGTGCATGTCTCTTCATGTGCCTCCAAGGAGCCTCTTCATGGTTTTTGCAGTTGGCCCACTGATGTTGCGCCACGGTTTCATGTGTGTCATCATGGGGCCAGCTGAAGGAACACGGAACAGATTGATGTCCCCCGATGATGCCAGAAGAAGATGGTGGTGAGGTAGTGGGTGTGTATTGGTGGCGTTGTGGATCCCTACAGCATGATTCAATTTGCTCCTGCATCTTCTGATATCATCAAGGGCCATTTATCTCCATCGCTCCACACCTGGTTCTTCGCATGCATCTTCTTCTGACATCATCAATGGCCATCTATCTCCACTGCTCCACACCTGGTTCTTCGCATGCATCTCCATGCCATCTATCTCTTCCATGTTCCTTCAGCTGGCCCTGTGATGACACATATGCCCACAGCGCAACATCAGTGGTCCAGCTGGAAAAGCCAAGAAGAAGCTCCCCTGATGTCACGTCATCGAAGATCCCTACAGAATACTGCAGGATCGCTGGGTGCGAAGTTCCACTTTAAGGTCCCCAGTCACCGATCCCACTTTAAAATCGTGAGACTTCCAGTGAAGTCGCAGGATTTCAAAGTCGGATGTCATTCCGACTTGAGGTGCGACTTGCAAGACCTCTGCCCAGAGGTCTATGCAAGTTCCATGTGAAGTAGTGCGTGCCTCTTCACGTGCCTCCACGGAGCCTCTTCATGGTTTTTGCAGCGGGCCCACTGATGTTACGCCACAGTTTCATGTGTGTCATCACGGGGCCAGCTGAAGGAACGCGGAACAGATTGATGGCCCCTGATGACGTCAGAAGAAGATGGTGGTGAGGTAGCGGGTTTGTATTGGTGGCGTTGTGGATCCCTACAGCATGATCCAATTTGCTCCTGCATCTTCTGATATCATCAAGGGCTATCATACCGTATCTCTACCGATACACACCTGGTCCTTCATGTGCATCTTCTTTGACATCATCAATGGACTATACCGATCAACCTGGCTTCATGCATCTTCTTCTGACATCATCAATGGCCATCTATCTCCACCGCTCCACACCTGGTTCTTCGCATGCATCTCCATGCCATCTATCTCTTCCATGTTCCTTCAGCTGGTCCTGTGATGACATATATGTGCCACGACGCAACATCAGTGGTCCAGCTGGAAAAGCCAAGAAGAAGCTCCCCTGATGACACGTCATCGGGATCCCTACAGAATACTGCTGGATCACTGGGCATGTATAGATTTTGGATGCAAAGTTCCACTTTAAGTCCCCAGTCACCAATCCCACTTTAATTCTCTGAATGTTTTCATGCAAAATATGAAATTTGGCTGATTAAAAAAAAAATAGTTTTTTTTTATTTTTGGTGTTGGTCATAACAATAATAGAAAATATATGCAAAATGAATGGAGACCAACTTAAAGCGGACCTTCATCCTTCCCATCCACGTTCTCTCATTCCCCTCCCATCCCCCTCCTTTGGGTTGTTCTTTGGTGGTAGGTAATGGTCGTAACAAAAAACACAGATAAATAAAAAACATGATTTTTTTTTTAATTACTTTTTTCGGCCAGTTTTCCTTTGATAATAAAAAAAAATCAGGAGGTATCCATTACCATTTACCACCAAATGAAAGCCCAATTTGTCCTGAAAAAAACGCGGTATAATCCACCTGGATGTACGAAGTAGTTGTGATGATACGGGCGGTTTTACTAACACATGTCAACGTTGCAAAATTGTGCTTAGGGATTTGGATTTGTTTTACCCTCAGGAGTGAAGGGGTTAAAGTAGAACTCCGGTCAAAATCCAAAAATCGCACAGCATCTGACGTCCTGCAGTTGGTCATTTGTGTTATCCCGGCGGCTTGGTAGGTTTTCTTTCTCTGAGTCTCCCACTTACAGGGGCGGACTGACCATTCGAGCCCGAGGGCATCGCTCCAGGGCCCGGGGTCAGTAGGGGGCCCCATGAGATGCCCCTGGTACCTTTTTTATAGGCTTTTTTGAGTGTGGGCAAGGACACAGGAGCCCCATGATCCCCTATTGCCCGGGGGCCCCATGAGTTGTCAGTCCGCCCCTGCCCACGTAACATTTTTTTTATTACCCGGTCACATCGATCCGACTTTGAAATCCAGTAAAATCGCACCATTTCAAGTCTGATGGAATTCCGACTTGAGTTGCGATTTTTCAAGACATCTGCGGCCTGCAAGACACAGATGTCTATGTAAGTCGCGCCTGAAGTAGCGCATGCATTGCGTTAGTCCGAGTCGGAATCGCACCGATATGGCGACTGTAATGGCGGACAATAGGGTGTGACTTGCCGGGCGATGTGTAAGTCGCGTGGCATGGCCAATCGCATGCCAAGTCGCACCCGGTGTGACCGGGGTCTTCACCCTGCTTGTAGGTCTGTTATAACAGGCCAAGCTGTCCGACGCAAGTGGAAGTTCCAGGCAAGCTAGAAGGACTCATTCACATGTGTGGCAGCTCTCGCCGCCTCCGCGTTGGATCGATAAGTCGCCTCCTCATCACCTGAATTAGGCGAGCTTCACACCTGTGCGCTTTTCTTATGCGTTTTGCAGGAACGCAGTGCATGCCATTTATCATGCTTTCCTACGGCTCACGTTCACATCTGTGCAGTTTTTGCGGGCGCGGTTTTTGGGAACGGTCAGAGACTTCTTTTGCCACCGCATTGTGTGTTTTTAGTCCAGTAGACGACAATAGAATTGCATAGAAAAGGCAAGCGCTGCATTTTGCGTGCATTTTTTATGCGTTTTCAACGCGTTTTGCGTTTTTAATCTGTCTAGCA